ATAGGATAAAGTTACTGAAAGTACTTGATGATGGTAATGAATCACGCAGGTATAAAGTTTCTAGCTCAAGAGACTGGCTTGGTCACGGACCATACGAGGTAACCATTGGTAAATCCCCTAAGTGTACTTGCAATGACTTCACCAACTCAAAACAAATACAAATATGCAAGCACATATTGTGGGTTTATGTGGAAGTTCTGAAAGTACATACAAGTAGTTACATATTGAAGCAAGCAGCACGATGAGGTTCACTCCATTTTCAGCAAAGCTCCTCCTCCAATTGTTACATTGGCAGCAAAAACTGTGAGAAAAACAAGTTCAAGTAAACCCAAAGATGATTCTCAAAAAGTAGCTCACATAATTCAAAGGGATCCTCGTAGCCATCAAGTACCTTGCTGGGTCCTTGAAAGGTATCACCGAGTTTCTGGTCCACAACCACAGTGTGCTGGATGTAAATCCAAATCCTTTGACACTTTGTTGTACTTGTGAATGGACTTTATGTTCCCAGAGAAAAAGATTTTTTTTTTGTGTTGAGCGAAAGTTTCACTTCTGTGTAGATGCACGTTGCTTTTCTAAGTTACCACCATTTTCAAATATCACTAACCCAGTAACAACATGCAGTGCTGGGCCAGGTGTTCTGGAAGAAGACATTGTTAGAGCCATCAGTGAGGGACTGAATGTTGAATAGTGTACCGCGGAGAAATCAAGTATCGCCACAAACCGTGTAGCACTGTTTAATCATGCCTTGTTCTGGTTTACATGTTGTGTTGTATTGTGTTATTCGATCTATATAATTCATTACATTCTTATTTTGAATAAAAGTAATACATTATCTAAAGCGATCAACTTACTTCTGTGGCGAGTATAAAAGCGAAAAGTCCATACCTAAATTCCAGATTTCCAGGTTAGCAATTGTCAGGTTAGCAACGATCCGTAAAACTTACAACAAAGAACTGACACCTAATATCTACTATGCTAACGTATACGTTGATATGTCACGTGATGAATATCCGCGTGACGTATGTCACACAAGAAATGTTCAATGTTAATTAATGTTCATAATCCTTGCTTAAACAAATAGACTAGTTGATGAAGGTACATGTGCAAGGAAACCTGTACAATTTTGAAGAAGACATTCCTGTCTTGCCTTATATGAAGTGTATTTTTTATTTAAGTTAAGTCATGTGAACCAGACAATTTCAGGTTAAAGTGGTAACATTGTATTGAAACTTTAATACAGTGTTACCAATGTTACTGTTTTTTTAAAGATAGCTACACTATACATAGTTTGAAATCTCTCGAGTTTTAACTAAATTTCTACATATTTTACACACAATTGAGGCTGATACAGTGTTAGGAATTAGGAATTATTGATGAATCTAGTAAATTCCCTTGCACTTTTCAAAGATATACCACAACGAGAGGGTTTTGGTTCGCAAAGAGGTGTTGAGGGCTCTCTTGGATCCCATGGAAGCCAGAAGTGTCCAGCTGAGCACCGAAGCGTACTACAATGTGATGGAAAGAATTCTCGACAATAGCCACATGCGCATAACGGCGCTGTTGGAGGATAAAGAGAGCGGCGAACCTGTTGGCTTGGCGACGTTTCTAGAACATGGGTTTGACGATAAATCGTCACCTCTCCCGTAGATTCTGACCTGAGGAGAGACCTGGTGCCAGGTCATCGGAAGGCCTATTATGAGCTTCAATATTGTCTGAGGAAGAWCACTGCAAGAGGAAAGCGCGTGGGACACGCCCTCCTCGGCTGTGGTCTCGAAGCTATTATGAAATGTTCAAAGAGGAGACCAGCGGTCATAACTGTTGCTGCTTTTAGCAGGTTCATTTGCTAATCTTCCTGCCYTCTCTTTGTATACAGATTACAAATTTAAGACGGTTGGGCTAATGGAGGGCAAGACGCCTATCATGGTACTCCGCGATTGCAAATCGATTGTGGAGAAGGCGTCCATGAGGTTGCGAAGGACTCTCGAAGAGACCTTCTTATTGCCAATTCTGAAACAGCAGCAAAGTCGAACTGAGAGCAATTTCCAACTGGAGGAGCACGAACACAGTTTCTCAGAGGATTGCGTGCCAAGCGAGAGTGAGGCAGCTGCTGGTGACTAYGAGMTGTCACAGGCTTCGGACCTCTCTAGTCAGCATTTAGGCGCAAGTCAAAATGCCGACTTGAGTGGAGAGCCATCTACTGCTTCTACTCAGGAAAGTAGAAGGGAGGAGCAACCACCCGCATTGGCRAAGGTCAGCAATTACTTCWACAGTTAAGCTTTAGAAAATGTGAAGACCATTTACAATGGTCATCTAACGTACTGTTAAGTCTTTCAGGTGTGCCCGAAGGACGGATGCTGGAAAATGTATCTGCGATGGCTTGCYGTGCTGTGAGCGTCGACAGGTCTCATGCGTTTCTTCAGCACCTACAAATGGCCAAACAAATAGAARAGTATGCTGCTTGTAAGCATCAAAACTCGTTAAATGTTTTGGAAGAAATCCGCACTCAAATAAGAGAAGGACAGGATATCGATTTAGCCTTAGCTACTTTAAGCGAATTGTCAGACTGTCCTGGTGCGTCCATAGGTATGCATTTCTGGAGCAACTAGTAACAAAGAGCTGGACCGAAGGTGAGTGCCTGATTAATTATTTTGTCCACCGCAAAATAATAACTGTGCTTTTGAGTAGTAGTACAGAATTTGTCCTAATGTCACCCCAGCGAGAAAATTGCACGCAAAATTTGTATTRATGACCTTTTTTTAATCAATGCCTTCGTTTATATTCCAGCTCTTGAAATAATACCACGTGCAGCGAGAATGCTGGATGGATTGATAAAGGACCAGAGGCCTTTTCCAGAAAATATTTTGAGGGCGCAACGAGATCGGTTTAGCGTCTACCTTAAGATCAGCTTGTCATTCCCAGAAATCTTCCCTCCCRGAGATGGTGATGGCTTGACTGATTGTCRGCTACTCAGGGTTCATGGTGCTCAGTCTATTTAAGGCTTGGCTACAACCCTTCAAATCCCCCCTGCGAAGTTTTAAAAAAAATCCAAGATGGCGGATCAAAACATGCGAAGGGAAGCTTTTTCTTGTGTCGTTTAGAGGTTTTTATTGTTACTATGAAGAGGAACGAAATACAGAATTTAAGGTAAGTTGTATTTGATTATTTTTTACTCTTCTTTGTTGTTATTTCACTTAAATACACTCGAACAGCCTTCGTATTTGACATGAGATGATCGAAATAAAATGCATGGTTTTGGAAAATAAATAAGCTTCATTTTTACATTATTTCAAATATATACAACTCTATATGCAAATCATTATTAAATATATTAATTGAGCAAAAAGATATTTAAGAATTAAACTCTATATGTACAAGCATTACTATAAAATAAATAAGTTAAGCTAAAATAAAGTGCATTGACTTGGAAAATAAATTAAGCTTATAATTTKTACATTATTTCMAATATATACAACTCTATATACAAATCATTATTGAATAAATAAATTGATAAATTGAGTAAATAGATATTTAAGAGTTCTG